GGTCAAGGCATGGAATTAAGTTCTGTATTCTATTTTTTTTTTGCTATAATATATCTTTTCTGATACCTTTCCTTTTATACTGTACACTTATTTAGGTTATATCAGCACAACCATTAATGATGGCCCAGGATGCTTGATGCTAAAATGTCCCGACCCTTCTTGTCCTGCTGCTGTTGGTCAAGATATGATTAAAAAATTGGCTTCTGAGGAAGACAAGAATAAGTTTTATAGATATTTTCTTAGGTCTTATATCGAAGACAACAGAAAGGTAAGGTGTCAAAGATAACATTATATCAGACTGCATAACTTAGCGTAAGGAGCAGAAACTGCTTGATGCTCTTGCATGTTATATTACTTCGTCTATTAAATTTAACCTTTAAAAGTCATTCCTTATCTCGTGTCCTTCCTATGGTGCTTTAATTGACAACATTTCCCCACAAGCTTTTACTTCTCCATGTTGTGAAGTGACTATATTTTTTCCAGCATATTACTAGTATTGAGAGAAGATCCTCTCCGTTCTCAGATTTACGTATTTTTTTCCAATCTTGTATGGCTTGACAGCCAGTTTTTGTTTTTCCTGAATTAAATCTCAATGATCCAACCTTTCTTCAATGTCGTTGCTTTGAACAGACTATAGTACTTTGTCCTTCAATGCTTGTCTAGTTTTAAAGTTACTCCCATTTGTTTTTTTCTGCTTCAGATGAAGTGGTGTCCTGCCCCAGGATGTGAGCATGCAATTGATTTTGCTGCCGGAACTGGCAGTTATGATGTTTCCTGCTTGTGTTCGCATAGCTTTTGCTGGAATGTAAGTTCTTGGAGTTAAAGCCATCTAATTTTGCTTTCCTGTGACTATTTAATCATTTTGGTTTATCTGTGGAACTGTGCTAATTTTGAAATTTCAGTGCACTGAAGAGGCTCACCGTCCTGTGAATTGTGACACAGTTGCACAATGGATACTTAAGAACAGCGCTGAATCTGAAAATATGAATTGGTATTATTCGTGTTCATGCTTCCTTTTCTTCTGGTTATTTCTATCGTATATCTTGCATAACTATGTTTACCACTGGAGCTATGTCATTTTTTTCTTGCATCTTCCATTTCTATTGTATTAGCTAATCAAAATTTGCCTCCTCATACGTAGGATACTTGCCAATTCAAAGCCTTGTCCGAGGTGTAAGCGGCCAATTGAAAAGAATCATGGGTGCATGCACATGACATGTACACCACCTTGTAAACATGAGTTTTGTTGGTAAGGCTTTATCCCCTTCTCTGAAGATGTCAAGTTTGGTTGTTACCCTTTCTCTGCAATGTTGAATAGAAAGCCTGTTTCTCACTGATGTCTTAGGATTAAATCTTGTGTTGGAAGTGCAAGAAATGCTAATTTATGTCTTTATATGAATCTTTAGGCTTTGCCTTAATCCCTGGACAGATCACGGGGAAAGAACTGGTGGTTTTTATGCCTGTAACCGGTATGAGGCAGCCAAGCAAGAAGGACTGGTAGACCTCTTGTACTATTTGATCATTTGTAGTGGTATTTTCTGCAATCACTGATTGTTTTTAATATTGTTCTGTTGGTATCATTTTATTTGTTTCTGTTCTAGTACGATGAGGCTGAAAGGAGGCGAGAGATGGCAAAAAATTCGCTAGAGAGGTACACTCATTATTATGAACGCTGGGCAAGCAATCAAACGGTATGCACAATTTTTTATACTTATGCCGTAGAACATGTGAAAACTTGAAGTGTTATATATTGTCTAGTTTCTATGATAAGATAGAGAATCATGAGATATTTTGATTCTCCAGTTGTGAGCAAATCAGTGTTGCTGTAGGAAGAACCCAGAGTAATATTATTAATCGCATTATAATGAGCTTGACAGGATTAAAAAAATTGCAGCATGTTGGAGCGAACTTTGATTGTCCATTTGCTTTTTCCTGTTTGTGAGCCTTGGCTTTTGTGAACATTGAAAATGTGAATCATGTGAAGGGTGTGGTTAAGTAATCGCTTTACCATCATGTTTCTTCTAGTTTATAAGGGGAACTAACTAATGTATTTTGTTGGCTATTTACAGCTCATAACCAAGATAGTTTTATAGTTGTGTTTCTTACTTGGCTGCAATACTTGCGAGACATTATTTTCTATTCCTATATATTTACCTTTTTGTGTGATTTGGCAGTCGAGGCAGAAAGCTATGGGGGATCTGCAGAAAATGCAATTGGAAAAGGTAAATTGTTAATCTTATTTTTAAATTTTACTTTCTTGTTGATCTTTTATCTTCAAAATGCTATTCCATTTGCGTTTATTTGCAAAGCCAAATTGTATCCAAAATCTAAGTAGGGACTGCATTGTTGTTGCTTTGTTGATTTTGATCTAAATTTATGGTGCTTATACATGTGGGAAATTATATAGAATTTTGAACGTAAGAAGGTTGTTGGCAGTTCTCACATACTGTTCTCAAACTTTTCTCGTTGTTCTGCTAGCTTGAGAAGCTTAGTGACACACAGTGCACACCAGAATCTCAGCTCAGGTTCATTACAGATGCGTGGCTTCAGGTTAGCAGCTAAAATATTTAAATAACTCTGAGGTTTATGTACAACATCTCTCTGAATGTTTCCTCATTTAATTTATACCTTTGCAGATCATTGAATGCAGACGGGTACTGAAATGGACATATGCATATGGGTACTATCTACCTGATCATGCTAAGAAACAATTTTTCGAGTATTTGCAAGGTCAGAATCCTCATCTGTAGATTTGGCTGGAACAGTTGGTTGTGTCAGTGAACCCTTGAAGTTTGAAGTTTCTCTTGTTGATCTGGTCAGGGGAGGCTGAGTCAGGTTTGGAGAGGCTCCACAAGTGCGTAGAGAAAGAACTGGAGGTGTTTCAAAATGCTGAAGGCCCTTCAGAAGATTTCAATCAATTCCGTACAAAATTAACTGGTTTGACCAGGTAACTATTGTCTATTTTACATCTATGCAGCTGTTTGGTACATAACAAGAATAGGCTTCTCAGAGAGATCAAGATAGACCCTATTTCGACTTTAAGATGAGTCTATCCAGTCATAAGTTTGTGCTATATTCAGATTGATGTTACATCTATAGTCAGATTCTGTTGTAGGTTTGGCTGAACTAGTTGAGACTTGAGACTTTGAACAACCTATGATTGCTAACCCCAGTGGCTTCTATTGTGTTAAACAGCATAACGAAAACCTACTTTGAAAATCTGGTGAAAGCTCTAGAGAATGGTCTTACCGATGTGGATTCACAAGCGGCTACCAGCAAATCAACAAACTCTAAATCTTCTAGCAAGACAAAAGGGGGTGGGAAAGTCAAAGGAAGCTCGAAAAATGGCAACTGAGATCTCTCAGGTTTCAGTTACATCCCTCTCTGTCTCTCTCATTAAGAAGGTCTTTAACTTATTCGGAAGAAAAAAGAAAAGACTTTTTAAGAGTTGAGCAAAATGGAGAAAGGTTTGGTTGGGTTTTACAATACTTTCCAGTAGCCTCCTCTGAGTTTGAAGACTGTTTGAGGCACGCACAAGTGAACTATCTCTATCTGTCTTAATGGGTTGATGATAGTTTGTAACTTATCCTAAAATATTGTATAGTTGAAAAGAATATGCGCATTGTTACTTTGGGTTTTGATTGCCTTGCTCTGCTAGTGCGATGTCTGCAAACCAAACTGAAAAAAAATTCTCCATCTCAAGAGCAAGTGGTACCTCTTTTGTGTTAAGTCTCTTTCACCTACTGATCTTTACATTATTAGGTTGCTTGCTTGTGTTATTGAATCCAAAACACCTCAAGAAAGTCTTAAGACAGATGTCAAAGAGAACGTTCTGTCCAATAAGCCTACTTAATTTATTAAAATGATACATACATAATATTTTGCTTGTTTTTATAAAAACGCGCGAAAATACAACAAATAAGATATTTGAAAAGAATTGAGAAAAGGTAAAAAAATATTCTTAATCTAGAATTTGAAATTAGGACTGTCTGAACCAAACTCTTAGAGAATTTGACACGGTCATTGTCTCATGAAAGGGTAGAAGATTAGAAAGACTAATAAACTTTGTTAATTGTTGTTTGTATAGAATCTAACTCATCTAATGCAGTGGTCAACTATCTGTTTTTGTGCTTCTCTTAAAGCTTTTTTTTTTTTTTTGGGTTGACTCATTCAAATTCTCCACGAAGTTAGTGCTTAGTGTGTCATTATCTTCATTGAGTTTTTTAATGTAATGCTACATGTAATCCTCAATCTATAATCTCAATGTTTGTGTTACTAAAACTTCTTCTCTAGTCTG